AAAGAAAAAATCCCTACTGCTGTAAGAAAATTTTTTTGCATTTTGAGTTAGTACATGGAGATGGTATAAACTATGATATGGGAGGTCAATCATTGGGGGATGTTATTATAGCTAAAATACTGCACTTAATGAAAAAAAAAGTAAAAAAAAAAATTCTTGTAAGTAAATTTTTTAGATGTCACATTCAGGTGAGGGCCGATTGACAACATTTTTGAAAATAGTGACATAAAAAAGAGACACTAGTGAATCTTTAGGGTAATACTATAACAGTACAGAGAGATATGTATTGTGCTTACCTTCCTGCCAGCTCATGGCCAGGTGTGGTGGGTAGACCAGGTCTGCAGGAATGGAAACACCAGTATTGACACATGGCACCTGTCTTGGTTTAGAAGCTGTTCTACTGGTTTGGTCAAGTATCTCTCCAGGGAAGAGTGTTGGTGTTTTCTGACAGTATCTTTTTCTTTTTGCTGGTACTTCTGGATTTTGGTTAGTAGTTGAGGGGGGTTGGTGCTCACTGTCCTCTCTCACACAGTGGGGACACACCAGGTACTTGTCATATGACAGCCCAGGCCAGTCCTCTTTAATGATGTCCAAAAGGTCATGGTGACCTCGCATGAGAACACGCCACATGTCTGACAGATGTGATCCACGGACAGCAATACTGATAACCCAGTCTGGATCTTGGCTAACTGGATCAGGATTTTCCCCCCGTGTCAGCTGCATTTTGCATCCCTCAAGTTCTGCATACACTCCATCCTTCCAGTCCATTCGCATGGTCTTCATGAGTCCAAGATGTTTATGCTGACGAACAGAAAATTTCTCATATAAGCCATCTGGACATTTGTATGGAAAGAGAACCTGCAGGGTAAGTTGTCTGGTGTCTGGGGGAACCTTGCTGGGCCATTTGGTGTTTAGCTCAGGTTGCCTTTCTTCAGTGAGGAGCCATGGAAAGTGGAATGAGGTATTGGATGGAAGGGATTCATCTTCCTGGACTTGATAGCACAGCTCCAGTTTCAGCATCATTTCTGTCATGACATCAATTTCAGTAGTTGACAATTTGAAAGGCTCACATAGGCAGCTCATAGCTTGTTTAGAAACAATTCCTCTGTTAAAGATGTCTTCTTCTATTTTGGGTGTTTTCCTTCTTGTAATCTTCATGGACTTTTGAAGCTTTTGTGATACTTCACCTTGATCATGTGTGAGGACTGCCTTGAGAACATTCACAATAACCTCTTGCTTGTGGAAAACAACTTTCATCAGTGAAGGGCTTTTATCAAACCATATTATGTCTCCACGGTGAGCTAGGAAACTTAAGATGTCACAAATTGTTTTCTTTTTTTCTTCCTGTGTGTGCTTCTCTTTCCATGATGTTGGTGCATTTTGCAGAATGAGGTCATCAATCACCTCCCAGCCAAGTGTGTTCTCAGGGCCTTCAATTTTCTTGGTGCAGATATTCTTGGCTGCTTCCACCCACATCTCTGGCAAAACTTCAGCACTTGTCCTGGCAAAAGAAAGCAGATAGTCTCTCAACTCCTGAACTCCTTTAAGGGTTTTTGAACTCACTGTAAAAATATGCTCATAGATGGGTTTTATCTGCCCATACAAGGTCTGCAAATGAGCTGCTTTGCTTTGGTAGGCCTGGCGGAGAGACGCTTGGGCTTCAGGTATTTCTTTTATTTTGTTCTCACACGTCTCCTTTTGTGCTTGATACCACCTTTTTTTTTCACTTGCATGGTCTTCAAGCTGCCTGGTTATTGAGGAGCATTTTGTTACTGCATGTGGGGTTGCAACCTCATCAAGGTGAGTTCCAAGTAGAGCTATTTGTATCCCTGGCATCTGTGCTTGCACCTTGTCAATCCAGGCTCCAATGTGCAGCTGAAAATGACCCTCCTTTTCTGGATCATATTTAGACAGATTGAAAGTGATAAAAACCAAGCCCCTAGTGGAGATAAAAATGGGATGACCTATTTTATAGACATCATGTCCACCAAAGTCATTGATATTGAAGGCAATGTCTTGGTCAGACTCCCATGTTCCCTGCTCCACCACTCTTGTCCTGTCTGCCTTCGTTGTGAGGGTTGACTGTCCAAGTTGTAATGTACGTGAAATGCTAGTTTTTCCTGCTTCTGTTTCACCAAGAAAGTTGATCTGTACTCTGCTTGACTGAATTGCCTTGGTGTCAGCTAATGCCTCAAAGTACCTCTTAACAGCATCTAGTCCCCTGTCGGCAGTATGTATAGGTGGTTGTACCAGAGGATTACCTTTCACATCTATGTCTGTTAGACTTCCCATATTCCTTATCTGAGGTGGTAGGTGAGTGATGTTATTGCCTGCCATGATAAGTCTCTCAAGTTTAGTCAACCTGCTGATATCCACTGGTATGTAAGACAGCTGGTTGTTATCCAGGTGCAGCATCACTAGGTTAGTCAAGCCACACAGTGCTATGGGGAATGTAGTGAAGGCATTGTTATGAAGCCAGAATATCCTAAGCCCCTTCATCCTGGTGATATCCACTGGTATGTCAGATAGCTGGTTGTTATCCAGGTCCACCACCTCTAGGTTAGTCAAGTCACACAGTGCTATGGGGAATGTAGTGAAGGCATTGTTATTGAGCCAGAATATTCTAAGCCCCTTCATCCTGGTGATATCCACTGGTATGTCAGATAGCTTGTTGTTATCCAGGCGCAGCACCTCTAGTTTAGTCAAGCCACACAGTGCTATGGGGAATGTAGTGAAGGCATTGTTATGAAGCCAGAATATCCTAAGCCCCTTCATCCTGGTGATATCCACTGGTATGTCAGATAGCTGGTTGTCTGACAGGTACAGCTCCTCTAGGTTAGTCAAGTCACACAGTGCTATGGGGAATGTAGTGAAGGCATTGTTATGAAGCCAGAATATCCTAAGCCCCTTCATCCTGGTGATATCCACTGGTATGTCAGATAGCTGGTTGTATGACAGGTACAGCACCTCTAGGTTAGTCAAGTCACACAGTGCTATGGGGATTGTAGTGAAGGCATTGTTATTGAGCCAGAATAGTCTAAGCCCCTTCATCCTGGTGATATCCACTGGTATGTCAGATAGCTGGTTGTTATGCAGGTCCACCACCTCTAGGTTAGTCAAGTCACACAGTGCTATGGGGAATGTAGTGAAGGCATTGTTAGATAGGTACAACACTGTGAGATGTGGCAGTTTGGATATGGACTGTGGTAAAGAAGATAACCTGTTGCTTGCTGCATTCAACTCCTTAACATTTTTACACCTGTCAATGGAATCTGGTAGGTTGTCTATACCAGCAGAGTCTATATGAAGCTCAGTCCACTCCAGCACAGTGTCTGGTGTCTTGGACTGTGGAGACAACTGTAGCACATGTAAGAGATCAAGTCTCTCTCTACCTGCTGTTACTTGTCTGTAAGACATGTTTCAAGAATAGAGCAGTAGGAAGAAATGTCACTGCTTTATGTTATATATGGTCACTTGGAAAATGTGCTAAATGTTCTTTGACTTCCTCCATTACTGTGCATACATGTCTTTTATTGTCTTTTCTTTGTCTGAAATTGAAAAAAGATAAATTGGTAGCAAAATTTTAATTTTGTTAAAAATGAGTCATGCACAGTATTGGGGTTTTGTTGACAAAATAAAACATTTTATCTCTACTTCCCTCTGATGACAGGTACCTTATCTTAAAATACATAACTAAGTCATAGGTCTACTGTTTTGTTGTCTTTGTGTGAAAGAAATAAAATATAATATGATACAAAAAGTGTGACATGCACTTCTTTTGTTTGAATTAATCAGCTATGCACAACATAATTATATATGGTATTTTGTGGCAAAAAATTCCATAATAAAATTATTTCCATGTGGTTTCACTTGACAAAAGGCATGTTTACATTTATAAGTACTCTGGTAAATCATGTATTTCAAGCATTTTAACTTGATATACAATTTTTGTTGAGTAGGCAGTAACTCTATTACCTTATGTGGATTAAATGTGCATTTGGACAAAATATGAGTTATCTGAAAAAAATAATAAGGAAAAGACTGATGAAAAGCTGGATGGATAGCGTTCATTAATGACTTTCTTTTAAAATTTCTCAAATTAATGTTATAAATTATAATATATTCATTTGCATCACAAAAGTTTATGATCAGGATTTGGGGTGGTTAACATAAAAATTGTACTTAGAGCAAATTAAATGTATTTAATATTAAAGGTTACATAAAATAAAATTTAATTAGGCAATATATCAGTTCATACATGATGACATACCTTCAGTCTGTTAGTTCTGGATATCTATTAAGATAGGTGAAGTCAGACACCAGCTATTAACAACATTTCTGCTGCTGGAGGTCTTGGGTACCTGAAATATGAAATAATATACACCTTAAAACAAACATGGCTATATCAAACTTAAGCTTAGTACTTTACATTGAGTACAGTTTGGGTCATATTGTTGAAATTTTCAAATTGTATTTGCCTGGTAGCCTAATAATAAATAATAATAAAGATTTGATAACAGAATGATTTCTTGACATTTTTTTTCTAAGAACTCTTCCTGTCCCAGTGTTAAGACATTATGTATCAGAAACAAAATCAGCCAATCTAATAATAATAAAAAAATATTCCATAAGAATTAAAGAAGGAACATTTGTAAATTCTAAAAATATTTTAGATAAAACTTTGATAATATTAAAAGGCAAGAACTACTTCTTTCATACATTTTACATGGGTTGTATTAACTAGGTCAAATCAGGAATCCCTTTTGATGATTTCCCACAGGATCTTGGCTTCCTATATACAGGCCCATATATACCCAGGGGGGTTCGGGGGGTTCGAAAGAACCACCCTTTTTGCTGGGAAAAGGTCCATTCTGGGTAAAATTTGATCTATTTACTTGAGGATTTTATGGTTAAAGGTCCACTTTTTCCGAAAATGAACACCCCCCCCCCCCCCCCCCCTCTGAAATTGCTGGCTACAGGCCTGCTATACTTGTATTTGTAAATGGAAATTTTATAGGAGCCCACAGGAAATGCTTTCTATAGGAGAGGTTCAACTCTTTAGGTGTTGAAAAGACACTAAACAGAAAAAAAAGTCATTTCAGATATCCTAGATCCACTGTGCCAATTTTTGCAATGACCACCCAAATATAAAAGGCAACCAATTAAACAACAACAACAAAAAAAAAAAAAAAAAAAAGATTTGTCAGTTATAAGAATGTTATTTTACGTGTAAACCTATCCATGCCTGAATAATTTTTTAATTATCTACCTAAACATAAATAAAAATGTTTTTATCAGATCAGTCAGTCAGTAACAAAGTATTGCCTCAGATGAAATATGTATCATACAGACTAATGAATTTTTTAATTGAGATTTTTTATGCTTCTTTGGGAAAAAATACAACTCTTAGAAACTTAACAAAAACATTCTTATATAAATTCATATCTACACCTGAAAGTTACAGCATTGAGATTTTTTTTTTAATAAATTGGACGCCCCCCCCCCCCCCCCCCAAACACACACGTGCAGGTAGACCACCATATGGGGCAGTGTCTAAGACAATCTCTCAACAAGATGAACTCCTTACACTTGGAGAAGCTACACTTATCAAAATGATAAGCTGAAAATAACTCCGCTGTTTGGGTGCTTATTTACATGCTTGTTTACGTAACAATACCGTCACCTTAAAAATGGCGGCAACCAGGAATTAAGTGAAATCTCAAATTTTCTTTGCTAAATCAATATCATGAGTCCATTTCCACTATCCCAGAACCCGCGACGCGGTACCTGCTTGTTTCAGAAGCTTGTACTAAGATTTAAAAGTGTTGTGAGAGTTCAAAAGAAACATTATAAAATAAACAGGTACTTTCAGTTTCAACTTTGACTAGACTTTAGTACTCACTGTTATTTATGTCAGTGGCAGTACCTTCTCTTTCAGTTCTACGACGTACAGGTGCTTTCTGTGTGGACTCGGTGCCGTAAATGAATTAAATAACAGCAAGGAGTTATATCTGTTATAACTCCTTGATAACAGTCTGTAACAGCTCTCTACTTAACTGTTAAAGTTTTTTCTGCTTTTCTCTATTTAATTACTGCTAAACGTTGAGTGCTGCATCAGTGTTTATTGTCTCTAGGCAGATATGTATTACTCCGCACTCACTTCATTTCAAGATGCATATTCATTGATAAGTTTTTAAAATTAACATTCTTAATAAAGCAATAAGCGTTGATGTGCTTTGTAAAGTCTCAATTGTTTTTGTATGTTATTCAATAGATCAACAACACATGGAGGAACAGGAACTATACAAAAGTGGGCATGACTATTTTTTTTACGATCAGAATTAAAAATATATATATGCGGATGTGACTTTCCAAGGTGGTTGACTCTTCATAAAAAGTATTTATAAAGTACTGTCTGGGTACCGTGTATCAAAAATACTGTTAAACTGGTCTTAACCGAATATCGTTTTTTTCCTTTTTTAATTAATAAATAACAAGTCTGTTAACTTACCCCTCTGTTTTATTTTTTTTACAGCAGGCGGGGGTAGTGTGTGACGTCATGAGCAGCAACTTGACCTGACTGACTCTATGGGGATTTAACGACATACGTTGTGAATACTTTAACAAATTTTAATGATATTTTTTATGATAGAATAGTATGCACTCTAAGATTGTTTTATGTGGTTTTAAAAGTTTATGCACCCAACTTTTAAATCATGTTGCAATTTATGACAACCGTTTTAATTCTTACCAATCAAGGTGACAGCAGAGCATCATTCAGTTTTGATCTTATATGTCAAAGGCCCCAACCAAATCTAGTCCTATGCATAAAAAGCCCAGACGCCGTGTTAATTACGCCCTGACTGGAAGCATTCTTTATGGTGTCTTTGCATTGTTAACAGCATAATAAGGAGACATGTTAATCTGTTAAATTGATTTCATTCAGTGACAGTTCCCAACAAGTTGTTTGAACAACATGGACTGGAAGTTTCATTGGGAATGGGTCCTTCAAGTAAATTTTTACTTTAAGAAAACTGAAACATGCATGGTATTTACCACGAAAAAAAAAAAAAAAAAAAAAAAAAAAAAAAAAAAACTCAAGTCAGTTTGTATAGTTTAAATTATTTATTAAATNGAATTTCGAACTTGACCTGCGTTTTATGAATATTCATCAGCTCTGTAAATATAAAGCTAAAAAGTAAAACTGCCCTCCACTTATTGTGTTTACAAGGAAAGTGCACGGCATCGGCATCGGCGACAACAGACGCAGGTGATGGCAATATGTACAGACACATCTGTGTCTGTACATAAAAAGAAAAATATAAATATAAATTGGTAACAAATATTTATATTTATTTTGTTAGAATTGGGTTATGCACAGTAGTGTGAATGGAATTTTGTTGCCAAAAAAAAAAGAATTTTGTCACTATTTTTTTTTGATGAAAAAAACTTTGTCTTCAAATACAGGGTAAGTAAGGGCGTATCCCCAGAGCTTTTAGATCAATCTATCCCCGCGGGAAGTCTCACTAGATTACTGTCAGATAATCCAGCTTAAATGTCCGTCCTGCTAAGGGGGTAATTAACTTTCGTGCCCGCTAGGCTGTTTAGCGTGATCGAACCCCCAGGGAGTTAGGTCATTCTAAAGTAGATCGATCTAATCTCTGGGAATGGGGTCTAAGTCTTTGGTCTTTTGTTGTCTTTGTCTGACAGAAAAATATAAATTGATACAAAAGTGTAGCATGCACTTCTTTTGTTTGAATTAATCAGTTATACACAACATAATTGTATATGATATTTTGTGGCAAAAAATTCCACCAATAAATTATTTCCATGTGGTTTCACTTGACAAAAGGCATTTACAAATTATCTGGTAAATCTTGTATTTCAAGCATTTTAACTTGATGTACATTTTTGTTCAGCAGGCAGTAAGGTTTCATTCACATGGAAAGTCTATTTTCTAAATTCTATTTTCTATTCGCCGTATGTTTTGTGATCACGGTCTTTGCCCTGAATATCCCGCGGCGTGATTACTGGCAGCGCGAGCCAGTTACTTATCCAAAGCTGTAATTAATTCTCGGCTGTGCTCGGAGGAGATTCTGATACCTTGACGTGGAAGACAAACATGAAGACTGCCCTGGTGAGAGCCAAAAAGAAAGAACAGCTTCCGGTGTGATATCATTTCACCATCAGACACAAGAGAAAGCATCATGCTGTACCAGAAAAATGCAAAGGCTGTCCAGTATCTAACTGGATTTAGTCATTTTGAACACTTCATGTTGTTTTTCAATTGCCTTGGGCCAGCAGCTCACCACTTGAATTTCAAATGTTTGTCACCAGAGGACCAATGTTTTTTTTACCATTATGAAACTGAGACAAGCCTTTGACGATTATTATTTAGTTCTCCGTTTCAAGCTATCGGAAACAACGGTGTCAGAAATAATAAGCACATGGATCAACTTTATGTTTTTCCAGCTCAGTGAAATGAACATTTGGCCAGAACGTGACATTGTTGACGACTATATGTCTGTAAATTTTAAGAAATATGGAGTATTGATTTCATGGGTAAACAAAAGTGACTGGCATAATTTGTCCTTGTCTCGTCTTTCGGTTGCGCTCAAAATATCACCAAACCTAAAAATGATAAAATTAAATTAGTGAGATAGGTTTTTTTCTGTTCTTTTCAATTTGTATTTCAATTGCAAAATGAAATTGTACATTCATAACATTAAATTTTGACCTTCAAACCATGATATACTGAGTATCATCTCACAACTTGTATTTCTGTATTATAATGCAACTACAGCTACATAGTAGCTCAAGCTATGACATGATATTGATACAAGACATTTGAACAAGTAAAAAACTAGCAAACTTATTTTTGTTTGCACACGGTGACACCTACCTCGATGCTGTTTTCTCCATGATCTTTCTTCATGCCACACTCGACTTTTACTTTGGCCTCTAGTTCCGTTTTCCGTTTCTTTCCTCTTGTGGAGGCTCCTCTTTCAACTACTGTAGTTGAAGTTTTCACTTCGCCACCGTTTGCTTCCCATACTCTAAAGCCATTTCTACACGGACGCGAAAACGAGGCTTTCGATAATCTTCAATAATCACTATTACCCCAGCGCCCTCTTTAGGACAAAAGGCTCCACGTATAGCCCCAATGCACAATACACTGCAATACACTTGAAAAAAAAAAAAAAAACAAGTCCAGTGGCATCTAAACACACGAAAAGGTATACATGTAATTATTTCAAACTAAATAGGGTAATAAAAGTGAAATTTAAATATTACTTAGTACTTAATACATAATTGATACAACTTAAATTTTTTCATCCTAGGGTTGGCCGCCATGTT